CCCACCACTCCAGCAACCCTCAGTTTGTTTCCTGAGACTAAGAATTCCTCATATCAGTGAGATCATATGATACATGTCTTTCTCTGACTGACTTATTTCGTTTAGCATAATACCCTCTAGTTCCATCCACATCGTTGCAAATGGCAAGATTTCTCCCCCCTTTTTTTGATGGCTGCATAATATTCCATTGTCAGTCTCATTTAAAGAAACTTTCTCACCTCCTACTGTCCCACCTTACCAGCCACCTTTAGGTTCTTTTGACAACAAACATAATTACTCCACAGTCCATGCTGTGACTTTCTACCTGTAACACTCTTCTCTCCAGTGCTCCACCATAGTTAACTGATTCACAGTTCACATTCTTTGAATTTCCATTTAAACATGTAGAGAAGGCTTTCCTGAATGATCATTCAAGCTAAAGAAGGACTCCCTATTACTCTCATAATCTCCAGGGTTTTTTTCCCCCATTACATTTATTATATATTTGTAATTATTATATTTATAGACTGGTTTATGGCTTTCTCTTCTGTTAATTAGATTTTAAGTTTCACTGATAGGAACTATACTATTTATATATCCAGTTCCTCACGACGCTTGGCATTTAAGATGTTCAACAAATTTATTAAACGAAGTACTGAAATGAATCAACAAAAAAATACCTTGGAAGCAGCAGTGATCACCTAGGGGCAGTGCAGTATAAAAGAGTATTTATATTAAAGGGATAGACAGATGAGCCCAGAAAGGACAGTACTATCCACACTACTACTATGGCACTTTTTAGGCCATTTATATTATAGTATACATCTAATCTCCTGCATCAAATTATGAATCCCTGGAATGGACAGCTAGAATCAGTCTGATTATAAATACAAGTGATGCTACTTCTGACATTTTTAACTCTTGAGCAAGTTGCTTCAGTAAATCTAAGACTTAATTACAAAATTAGTGTAACTAAATCTGCTTCACAGGATGGCTACAAGGAGTAGATGAAAGAAACGCCTGGGTGGCACAGTCGGTCGAGTGTCTGCTTTCGGCTCAGGTCTGATCCGGAGGTCCTCGGATGGACCCCAATGTTGGGCTCCCTGCTCAGCGGGGAGTCTGCTTCTCCCTCTCTTTCTGCCCCTCCCCCTAGCTTGTGCTCTCTAGCTCTCACTCATTCTCTCTCAAATAAACAAACAAAATTAAAAAAAAAAAAGTAAGTGAAATATGTAAAATATTATAGTAAATGTCAAGACATAACAAATGTTATGTTGTTTTTACCTCCATACATAGTAGAATCTCATCTGTCTCAGAGTATATTCTAAAGCCAGCAGGGCATAAACTGAATATTGCCAAATGGTTCTTTAGGTCTTTAAATCACCTATAAAATACAACATTTGTGGTTTTGTATATACAGGGTTCTCTCAAGGTCCCAATACCGAAGTTTTTCCTTCTGAATTGAAAAGAACTGCTTTCTATGATTGGAACCCCAAATGAAGTTGTTGGATTATGTTTAGAGGTCATATTAAAATAAGAAAACCACCACAACCACCACTGTTTTTGTTGGCTAGCCACATATATAGCCACATGTGAGTTAAAAATGAGCATGTGCGGGCGCCTGGGTGGCTCAGTCATTAAGTGTCCGCCTTCGGCTCAGGTCATAATCTCAGGGTCCTGGGATCAAGCCCCACATCGGGCTCCCTGCTCCACGGGAAGCCTGCTTCTCCCTCTCCCGCTGTGTCTCTCTCTGTCAAATAAATAAATAAAATCTTTAAAAAAAAAAAAAAATGAGCATGTGCCACTAACTATATCTTCCTACAAGCCTAACAGATACTCCATGAATGTTACATTAACAAAAGACCTTTATCAATTTCTAACTTAAGGTTTAAATATAAAAAATAAAACCCCAGGGGCACCTGGGTGGCTCAGTCAATTAAGTGTCTGCCTTCGGCCCAAGTCAGGATCTTGGGCTCCTTGGGTTGAGCCCCGTGTCAGGCTCCCTGCTCCATAGGAGTCTGCTTCTCCCTCCTCCTCCCCCCCAAAAAATAATAATAAATAAAATCTTTAAAAAAAAAAATAAAATAAAATCCCAAGAGTACTTGAAGGAAACCACTGTAAATATTTTTATCATCTTGGTGGGAAAAAACCTAAGCATGACACCAAAGACTGAAAGCCATAAAATAGTTTTTGCTCAAATAGATAAAAAAGTAAAAATTTTATATACTCCACCCCACATCAGTATAAACAATGTTAAAAAAAAGGAAAATAACTGCAACATCTGAGGAAGAGTTAAAATCACTCCAAAACAAAAATCAGCAAATATATGCAGGCAAATTACAGAAGAATCAGTACAAGCCGACAGTCCTACCTGAAAACAATGTATGCAATACATCAAAGTGCTAGTGAGGATGTGAAAAATATGGAATTCATACACAGTGCTGGGAGATGCATAAAATGGTACAACCATATTGGAAAACTCGCATTTTCAAACATGCACCTACCTTACAACCTAGCAATTTCACCTTTATATATCCAAGAAAAGTGCTTGTGTCCACAATAATACCTGTCCACTGACAAGTGACTGTATACGCAAACTGTGGTACAATTCATACAATGAAATACTATACAATAACTTAAAAAAATAAAGCCTCACTACGGAATCAAGCAATAATATGGATCTCAAAAAACATGTTAAGAAGCTAGACTACTTGGTACATACCATGTGATCCTATTTATATGAAGTTCAAAGACAGGCAAATCTAATCTATAGTTAACAGAAGTCAGAATAATGGTAACCTGAAGGAGGAAAGGTATTAATTGGGAAGAGTCTCAAGGGAAAGTTCTAAGCCAATAGAGATGTTATATAAATTTTGATCTGGGGTGCTTGGGTGGCTCAGTAGTTAAGCATCTGCCTTCGGCTCGAGTCATGGTCCCGGGGTGCTGGGATCAAGTCCCACATCGTGAGGGGGAAGGGAGTGTCCCTGCTCGGTGGGGGGTCTGCTTCTCCCTCTGACCCTACCCCTCTCAAGCTCTCTCTCTCTCTCTCTCATTCTCTCTCTCAAATAAATAAAATCTTTTAAATAAATAAATAAATAAACTGTACTTCAATTTGAAAAACACTAGGTCATCTATGCTTCAATGAAAAAAAACTTTAAACACTGAATTAGCAGATTAGAACTATAGGGGGACGCCTTGGTGGCTCAGTTGCGTGTGCCTTTGGCTCAGGTCAGGATCTCCAGGTCCTGGGATAGAGCCTGGGCCTCACTTCTTGCTCTGCTTCTCACTCTCCCCCCATCCCCATAATCATTCTCTCTCCCAAATAAATAAATAAAATCTTTAAAAAAATAAAAAGAACTACAGGAATGACATCCTACCTTCCATTATTAAGGAGTCAATAGGCAGAATAGCTTTACAAAATACAGACTAGTGGTTAAGTCATTATTCTAAAAAACATAATTTATCTTTTTAGATTAAACTGCTTTTTAATTGGTTTTTCCTACCAGATTCCAGTTTTATCTACTGGTAGCCTCCTTGGAGGAAGAAAATATATTTAAGAACTGAATATCTGAGCACATTTTTAAAAGGTAAAGGTAAGGGGCGCCTGGATGGCTCAGTCGGTTAAGGGTCTGAATCTTGATTTCAGCTTGGGTCATGGTCTCAGAGTCCCGAGATCAAGCCCTCAAGCCCCCAAGTCGGGCTCTGCACTCAGCAGGAGTCCGCTTGAGATTCTCTCCCTCTTCTTCTACCCCTCCCCCCGCTCACACACACACTCTCTCTGAAATAAATAAATAAAATCTTAAAAAAAAAAAGTAAAGGTAAAAAGCCTAGATTCTTTTTCCCTACTAGATGAATTTAGAACCGAAGTAAATTACCAAGAATAAAAAACACCAAGACAGATGTTCTAATAATGATTGAGACTATTAAACAATTAACTGATTATTTTAAACTGTTTTAATGTGCTGAGAAATTATACCTAGCATACATTTTAAAACATATGTACAGTTCTTTCACTCAGTAAAAACAATTAACAATTTATGAAAGGAAGTCATTTGCAGTGTCCAATCTGATAATACAAACTACAGTGATTATAGACAATATTTCCTTTTAATAATAAAGGTAGAAAAAACAAGAAAAAAAATAATAAAGGTAGAACTATATTATGCGCTTCTCTCCAATTACCCAACCCAGATGAACACCCACATTAAGAGGGTTTGAGTACCCATTCCATATTATACATTCTTCTTTCCTCCTTCCCTCTCTACATTCAGGAGAGGACTAGAAATAAGGTGGTACTAGCTGCTAATCTATGCTAATTGGTATATGAAAGTAATTATGGTAGGAAACAAATTATTAACCAGTAAGACCTGAAAGTTCCTGAAAGCATGAAAATGTGACACTAAAAAAAGCGGACTACCACAAGGCTACGATGTGCCAATCTAGTAAGCCATGCTCATAGGAAATCCTAAGTACTAGCCCATCACTTTACTGTTAAAACAAAACAAAACAAATCTTCAATGGTATATTAGCATCTAAAAGGTTACATCCAAATTCTCCATCATGGCATTCAAAACCCTCTTTAACATGGTCCCAATTTACCAGTCCAAATTTATCCCCCACCTCTAAACAGAAATTATCCATACCATTTAGTGGTCTCCTCACTACCCACTAAAGACAGTATCTCATTTCCACCTCTGTACCTTTCTTTGTTCATACTACTCCGTATGCTGTGACATGCCTTCCTCTTCAAATGCTCCTTCTGTGCTCCTTCAACTGACAAGCATTTCCTGAGGATCTATGCTCCTGAAGACCACCACAACTTCCAATTTCTGCATGAATATTCTTAGAACTGCTTCAGTCCACACAGATCCCTTGTGAACACCTTGTGCTCCACAATCGAACACTGGCTGAAAATGAACTGGAATTCCAATACTGTAGCAGCCTCCTATGTCTCCCATTTAAAAAATCTCTGTCACACTCTCTCCTGCTAACATTATAGGACAGGAGAGACTTAACCTCCTCAATGACAATAACAGCTTATTATTGTTATTCTCTCTCATTTTAGTCACTCACTTACCAGAACTACAACAACTGGCACTCTGATAGAAGTTGGAGCAACAGCTGGAACATTCCTTAGCAGGAAGATGGGTAGCTGGTGGGAACACAAGAAAACACCAGTACCAATGCTGTAAATGGTATATTTCTCTCCTGCTCAGAAGAAAAGCAGCAGTTCATCAGCTACTTTGAGTTGGGACCCAAAAAGGGTATCGGAGGCTAACTACAGGCCCCAGAATTAGAGGGCTCACAATGGCATCTGTGCAGCTGTCAGGACTGGAAATAAAGCCACCATCATGGTGTAAGTGTTCCTCATGCCTTCCTCAAAATTTTCTGTTACCAAACTTTCAAGTGCCTACAAATTTCATTACTTTCACTACACACTTGAGATAATCCCTTCAATGTATGGCTTACCACTCCTGAAATGCTTTACCTCAACTTCCAAGGTTAGATCTTTTTTCTCATCCCTAAACCCAGATCTAAAATGATCCCTTGGCCTAAAATCTTTCTTAATGATACTGATTACTTACATGAACTATAATTTGCTCAAATATGCAAACACTGAAACAGGTGACTGTGAATCCCTCAAAACACAATGATTAAAAATGATCATATGAAATTCCAACATATCCTTCTTAAAGAATTACAGGTAGGTTCTCGAAACTTATCAAGACACCAAATTAAGATAAAAAATTCAGGGGCACTTGGGTGGCTCAGTTGGTTAAGCGACTGCCTTTGGCTCAGGTCATGATCCTGGAGTCCTGGGATCGAGTCCCACATCGGGCTCCCGGCTCAGCGGGGAGCCTGCTTCTCCCTCTGACCCTCTCCCCTCTCATGCTATTTCTCTCTCTCTCTCAAATAAATAAATAAATTCTCATTAAAAAAAAAAAAGATAAAAAATTCACAGAAAACCAGAAGTTAAAGAGCTCTAATGCTCAAAGTACTCTAATACCCTTCACATTTAAAAAAAGCTTATGTTTAGGCCTTTTATCAGCACAAATTGAGGAGCCCATATAGAGGAATTAGAGATAACCCAGTTTTTGAATAGGGAAACAGGTAATACGAAAAAAGGGCACAACGAGTTTCTCAGTTGAATCAACAGAAGTGACTGAAGAATTAAAGTAAGAATGCTATTTTTAAAAAGAAAATACTAAATTAAAATCAACATATAATTCACTAATTTTTATATGCCAAATATAATTTTAGATGTTCAAACAAAATACCTTATAATTTCCAAACTTCCTACTTCTCAAATCTCTGTAGGAATTGAGAGACACTTACTCATAATTTTTCACAAGCTGATAAAGGCAAAGAAGAATTCCTAGCCAACAAGCACTGTTATCAGACTGAAGATAAAAGCCAATTTTGTCCACAATGGCAGTCCAGCGGCTTGGATAATCATGTTTGATGATATGGTGAATGCATGTAGTAAGCTGTACCCTGAAAGTCAAAAATAAACAATAAGGAGGAAGAAATGCTACCTAGATAAAATTCTGCTCATACAAAGAAAATGGCTGCTTAGACAAAAATAAATGTAACTGAGAAAAAACTACCCGTTCCTACTGATTTAAAAGAAACCCAACAAATGTTACAAATGTAGGTGATTTTGTTTTTCCTTATTTTTCATCCCTATCATCAACTGATGAGTTTCATTTAAAACCCAGCTATTTTCATTAAAAATTCTGCAAAATCAGGGGCGCCTGGGTGGCTCAGTCGGTTACGCATCTGACTCTTGATTGATTTTGGGTCAGGTCGTAATCTCGGGGTTGTGAGATCAAGCCCTACATCAGGCCCACGTTCAGTGCAGAGTCTGCTTGTCCCTCTCTCCCCCTCTGCCTCTCTGCTATCTAAAATAAATACAATCTTAAAAAAAAAAAATTCTACAAAACCATATAAAAATAAGAACTTTTAAATATCAAAACCATATAATATAAAGTATATGACAGCATTCTACAGTTTTCTTTACCCCCTTTCACCTGATCATACTGTTTCATAAATTTTACATGAAGTTTAGAAGTTTTTAGTTTTTATAAATATAAAAACTACAGTAAGAAAATAAAAAATGACAGGTTTTTATGTTCTGAAAAGACCCACTGGGCTGTCTCCTCCCAAACTCCACAAATTATGTACCTGAAACAATGGGTAAGTTTTAAAATATACATATACCTGATGAGCTCAGGAGAGTGGATAATAGCTTCTACAATATTTTCTCGAATACAATGTCGATCTTCTTCTGGAATAGTATAAGGGGATATGTCCCCTGGTGCTGTTTCCCGATCAGGCCAATACTGTGTTATCATATTTTTCAAATAGATAACACCTAAAATGTAGATCAATTTGACAAGAGTATTTACTGTGAAAGTATTGTGAATCCCCCTTATAAGTGTCCACACCTCCATTTAAAATACTGCACATTCTTGTATTTCAAAGTTGATAATCAAAACACAGTCTAATTCTTAGCGACAATAATCACCCCTGAAGTTATTATTAAACATATAGCCTAAGAAACTCTACAAATAAACACACTATACAACAAAACTATTAAGACTTTTTACATCACATTTATACTTTTTATCCTGCTTTCTGTTGGAAAGCTATCTGGATTAATTTTACCATATCAATTTTCCAAATGAAGCCTCTAAAGACAAAACCACATACACGTACCATACTGCTCTCATAATTAATAACACTACTATAGACTATTTGTAGCCCCCTCAAATTCATATTGAAATCCAAACCCCCCAGTTTGATGGTATTAGGGGTGAGGTCTTTTCGTAGGCAATTAATGCCTTTATAGGAGAGACCCTGGAGAGGTTCCTCCCCTCCGAACATGTTGGGTTCTAAGAACCAGAAAGTGGGTCCTCATCAGACACCAAATCTGCTGCTCCTTGATTTTGGACTTTTCAGCCTCCAGAACTGTGAGGAATATATTTCTATCATTCAGTCTATGATATTCTGTTATAGGAGCCCCAACTGACTAAGACACACAAAGGCTGTTATTTTTATCATAGAAAAATTACAGCATAAAAATTTTTAGTCTATAAATTTAAGCATTTCATTAATATACCACAATCACACCACTTCAAATTCATGTTATTTTATGGGAGAATGTGCTGTGTTAAAAAATTACAGATTACTATTTTCTGTTAGCTATCACACTGCTATCTTAAACACTGCTATTTAACACAGTATGAACTAGATTGCTAACAATGTTTTTTATCCAGTCCTCTACTTCCCAATGAGAAAGAGAACCCTCAATCAAAAATGTATATGATGGGGCGCCTTGGTGGCTCAGTTGGTTAAGCGACTGCCTTCGGCTCAGGTCATGATCCTGGAGT